TCCCAGCACCTCAGAATGTCACCTTATTTAGAAACAAGATCTCTGCAGATGTAGTTAGTAAAGATGAGGTCACTGTGGAGTAGGTTGGGCCTCTAATCCAATATGACTGTGTCCTTATGAAAAAGAGAAATTTGGACACACAGACGGATATGCACACAGAGAGAATTACACGTGAAGACTGGCATTGCGCTGCCGCACGCAAAGGAGGGGAGGCCTCCAGAAGCCAGGAGGGAAGCCTGGACCAGGTCCTTCCCAGAGCCTTCCAAGGTGGCAGCTCGGGCTTAGGCCTCCAGAAGGCTGGGATGATAAATTTCTATTGTTTCGGCCACTTGGTTTGTGGTACTTTTGTTACACTAGCCCTAGGAAACTAATACTAGCAGTTGGGAAGAAGAGAAGGAAGTATAGAAGAAGAGGGAGTTACGACAAAACAAAACAGTCAAGAAAAAGCATCACCCACACTAATTACTAGCTTTGTTCCTTAGAAAAAACGTCAGCTGAGGAAGACACAGGGATTTGGAAATGATGGACCCCCTTGTATGAAAACAGTCACTGGCTCTACTAAAATTCAGTTTTAAATGTTAAGTTGACCAAGTTACACACTACTTAAGGAAGAAACCTTAGAAGTCAGAATTTACAGCTGGGCGCAGTGGCTCACACCTATAATCCCAGCACTTTGGGAAGCATAGGTGGGCAGATCACAAGGTAAAGAGATCGAGACCAGCCTGCCCAACATGGTGAAAACCTGTCACTACTAAAAATGCAAAAATTAGCTGGGCATGGTAATGCGTGCCTGTAATTTCAGCTACTCAAGAGGCTGAGGAGAATTCCTTGAACTCAGGAGATGAAGGTTGCAGTGAGCTGAGATCGCGCCACTGCACTCCAGCCTGGTAACAGAGCAAGACTCTGTCTCTAAATAAATAAATAAATAAAATTTAAAAAGAAGTCAGAATTTACCCGGGCTCTTCAAAAAAAAAAAAGGTACATTTCTAAGAGTGGAGAACAATCTAAAGAGATTTTGAGGAGGGTTTTAAAAATCACAACCTTAACAGACTTGTTATCGTAAAGTGTTTTTTCCCATGAGAAGTTTGCTTACCTCCAATTCTTACAAACCAAACATTACCGTATTGGGTTAGTGATTAAGGAGCTCAAAACAAAATTAAGCAGGCTATTCTGATTTCATTGTCTCTCTTGATTATTTGCTTGTCATATTTCCAATAGCCCCAAATGGCAAGATTTAAATAAAAGATAGGCTATTTAACAACACTCTATCTTCTCTTTCTAAAGTAACTGAAACTCCCTCCATTTAGCATGTACTTAACTTTTCCTCTACCCAGGCCTGTTCTGGAGGATTTCAGAAGCAGAATTCAATAGTCCTACGCAGGGGAAATGCCAAACTCCTCTGGCTCCAGTTACACTGGCCTATGTTCAGCTACTAGAACACCCCACTCAAGGTGTCTGCACCTCACTTGAGGGGTTTTGCACATGCTGCTCCCTGTATCCAAAGTGCTTTCTTCTGCTCCGACCTCTCTCTCTCTACTCACAACACAACGCAACCCCACACTCACAAACATCTTCTGTCCCCACCCCTTTGTTTTTCCTTACCACAGAACCTTGTATATTTCCTTCTCACCCTATCACGACTATAATTTAATTCATTGTTTACTTGTGTATTACCTCTCTCTCGCTAATAAATGATAAGCTTCATGACATCAGAGATCAGATGGGTTCTGTAAATTATTTTATACCCAGGGCCTGGCCCACAATGGGCAAACAAATATTTGTCTAGCTTGATTAATTAATTAATTAAGCAAATGAAGGCATGACATGATCCACAGTGGCACTCTACTACCCCCACTCCCCCTTACTCAAACACAGTGAGAAGCCTTTTCTGCCCAGAGGCTCTGAGTTCAGCTCTACAGCATGTTGTCTATGCCTCTCATGCTGTTGGGAGAATGCTTGAGGATATCACTTGTCTGCCAATGTCTCTGGGAAGGGTTCAAACTCAAAAATCAACCCTCTGATCATGATCTGGTTTCACAAATAAGCCCTTCTTATAATAAAAGGATGCCCAATCACATGCACATCAACTTTTGTGGTCTCCAGGAAAATTCTTTCTCACGGTAAATTAGTAACACAGCTCTGGGTATGTGAGGTATGATCCAGCATCCCCTGTAAGTTGACTTCAGGGAGAAATGTAATGAAAACATCAGCACGATGTTTGATAACTGGCTGTCTCTTTAGACATTTATAAACTGGCATTCTGATTTTTTTTAATCCTGTGCATTTTATATTTATAAAACAACTTTAAAATTCAGGGTTTATGGGTCACAAGCATTAAATAACAGAGGGTGTTTTGGCAATACATACATAAAACCTTTACATACTACTTAATCCAGAAATTCCAGTAATAGGAAGTTATCCTAAGTAATCATAAATAAATGTAAAATTTAGCTACAAGAATGTTCACTGCAGTACTATTTACAATAAAAACGGGAAACTTAAATATCCATATGGGGCTGATTGGATAATTTGTGATAATCCCTATTAAGAAACATCCTGCAGCTTTTCAGAATGTCTGCTTAAATGGGATGATCATCAATGACACAGTAAAAGCTTCATCATATTACAGTGGCAAAAAATTGTATTATAAATCAATGTTCCAAAATGTTTGAACTTTAGTTTTTTCTGGGTAATGGTGTCCAGTGTGACTTTTATCTTCTTATGGCTTTCTGTATATAATTTTTCTCTAAGAGTTACATATCACTCAGATAAATATATTTTGAAAAAGTGTTTAAGAATAAATTTTAACTAATCACAAAATTTCAACTACTACATGTGATTTCACTTATATGAGGTACCTAAGGGTAGTCAAATTCACAGAGACAGAAAATGGAATGAGGGCTGTTGGGGGCTGTCAGGGGCTGGGGGGTGGGTAGGGAAAGGGGAGTTAGGGTTTGGTGGGCAGAGTTTCAATCTGCAAGATGAAAAGAGTTCTGGAGATGGATGGTGGTGATGGTAGCACAACAATGTGAATGTGCTTAATGCCACTAAGTTACATGCTTAAAAATGGTTATGATGGTAGAGTCTATGTTACATATACTTTACAATTTTTTAAAATTAAAAAATAAATCAGTAAATCTTGAGTATAGCCAAGTCTCTTTTATTAGGATTTTCAAAAGGCAAGAGTAAAGAAGCCTGGATTTGACTTAGAATACATAGCACTGAGCCACATCATCCACGTGCCCCCCAGCACTGGAGTGTGTCCTGGGATGAGCGGGCATCTGCCTGCTTCCTGACCACTGGTGCTGGCCATGTTTCCTGGCCCACTGAGGGCAGAGATGCTCTTGAGTCTCTTTCATGGCATGGAGTTTTCTTCCTCTCTTGACAATGTCCCTCAGTTTCACTCTCAGATCAAGAAACTGACTTGATTGCCCCAGAAGCATGGCTTCCTCCCAAGCCTGGCCACAGTGACTACACGGGGTGGTGGGCCCAGGAAAGATTCAGACTATATCTTCCATGAGCTACAGGTTCAGAAATTTGCCCCCAAAGTCCTTCAGCTAGTAGTTGGCAGAAGAAGACAAGGAAAAGAATCTTACCTTAAAGTCAAGACAAGTCACCTCTCTACGACAAGGAGGAAAGGGCTGGGCACGGTGGCACATGCCTGTAATCCCAGCACTTTCAGAGGCCGAGGCAGATAGATTACCTGAGGTCAGGAGTTCAAGACCAGCCTGACTAACATGGTGAAACCCCTATCTCTACTAAATACAAAAAATTAGCCAGGAGTGGTGGCATATGCCTGTAGTCCCAGCTACTTGGGAGGCTGAGGCAGGAGAATTGCTTGAGCCCAGGAGGCAGAGGTTGCAGTGAGCCAAGATCACCATTGTACTCCAGCCTGGGCAACAAGAGCAAAACTCCGTCTCAAAAAAAAAAAAAGAATAAAGAGGAAAGAACTAGGTTCAGCAAATAAAAGTCCTTTCTTTGTTCATCAAGAGGCCACCCAGGACTTTGCCACTGAGAAAGGACTGGTGCTCGGGTGGTGGTGGCGGGATCTGAGAACCCCAAAGTTGCAGACCTGTACCCGAGGGCTGGGCTTGGCCTTCAGATGTTTTGTTTTGGCTTACACAATATTGAACTGCGTGGTGTTTGCAGAATTTTTAAATTACTTGGCAACATTTAAAAATCAGAGTATTTCTACCTAAAAAGAGATTTCTTTGGATTCTCTTGAGGGAAGGGGTGGGAAAGGAAGTTCTTAGACACACAAGGTTTATACTCCTATGTGACAACAACTGGCTGGAAGTGAGCTGCTTCTTTAGATGGACCCTCTCTCCTGTCCAGTTCAGCAATTTACCTGCCTGGCCCTGCTGCTCCTTGAGCTGTAGCCCCTCAACTGTACTGAGAACGGCCTGTGAGGCCACTGTGGTACCTGGCATGATGCTGGCTGGGCTCCCTGTAAGCACTTGGAAATGCTCAGCCACTATGGGGGAGGTGTGTGATGCGGCAGCTCTGGTCAGTGGGCCTTAACAACAGTCCTGCGACAAGACTCGTGGCTGGGCCTGAGGTTTAGTCCTTACCCCAACCCAATCAGAGTGCAGCACTCTGTCCCCCCCCAACCATGCTTCCATGCACTATCAAAATGCAACATCCTGCACAATTCTCCTCACTGAAAATGTTAAAAGGAAGCCATGCTCTGGAGAACAGATCAATGGTCATGATGGCTCATGTCCCGTCTCTAATAGAAGTCAACACTAGATGCTTTGGAGAAAGGAGTAGGAGCTGCATGAAGCACTGCATGGTGCGGTAGGTCCTCTTCTGATGAAGAAGAGAGCAGAAGAGAGGGAAGTTCTTAGCTAGTAATGCTTCCCCACTGCAATCTCAGTGGTGGAGGCTGCTGGAGGCTGGTTTAAATACCTAAAAAGATTGTATCTGTATGGGGGAAAGGAAGCTTTCCAGGTCCTTCAGGGTTAATAAGGCCAGGGAAGTTGGAAACCAGAGACTCTTACCTGCTGTAGGCATGCTAATGTTATACTGAGGTAAAATAAATAGAAAGGCAGTCTTGGCTGTGACCTGTAAAACAAACAAACAAAAAAAGAGTTCCAGTTTAGCTTTTGGCCACATCAAAAGAAACAGGTGGAAGCTGCTAACCACCCCTTTTACATCTTAGGGCCACAAACCTCTTGGATGAAGGGTTCTGCCTAATGCAGAGTTAGCACTGGTTTTTGTTCTATTTTTCTTTAATGACATACCTGTCAATACCTATACCCCGGGCCCCAGATGGTATCTACACTGGTACTCACTGCAGATGAGATGAAACAAGCTGTGCATGGCAGGATGGGAGCTCACAAGTGAATAGTACAAATCTGTCAGCCATTCATTCGTTCATTCATTCATTCATTCATTCAGGTACTTGTCAATTTAGTTCTGTGCAGTCAACAGTGTGAAAGACAGAAACTAATAAATAAGGTCAAAACCTTCAAGAAGGTTAGGGCCTCGCTGAGGTTTCCCCAGCACTTTGGCTGCCTATACGTTGGAGATCGGCTCTGAAAATCGACACCTGAGCTTCAGAAACAGAGAATTCCAGCTGCTAATTTCACATCTACCTTACTGAGAGGCGTGGGGCCAGACGTAACATCTCACACTGCTGGCTTGTTTATTTCAAAAGCTGCCTTTAAAATCTTAGTTGTGCTGTGAAAAAAACGGTGGTTGTCACCTAGTTATGCATGGCCAAATCAGTATTGTGACAGTTTAGCCAGCAGGGAAGAGATCACAAAACCTGGGGGTTTGAAGCTCAGACTCAAGAATCGACTATCTGGGTTCAAATGCCAGCTCTGCCATTTTCTTGCTGTGTAACTACCAGCAAGTAATCTTATGCCACGAGCCTCACTCTGCTTGTCCATAAAATCAGGGGTGTTTGTAATACCTCAGCTGGTCTGGGTACTACAGACTAGCGTGGCTCTGTGGCCCAGCTGCAAATGTTGTTCAAAGCTCCCCAGAGGTTTCAGATGGACAACTAGGCCTGAGAACCACCAACCACACTGTTCTGAAACCTGCATCGAGGCCAGGTGAGAACGAAACCCGGGACCAGGTCTTTCCCAAGGGCCCTCTGGAGACACCTGTCAATAAAGGGGTGCTGGTTCTTCCCTAACAGAGGTTTGAAGGGACAGGGTGGGGACAAACACACTGGGCAGTGGCAAAGGCAGCATGGAAAGAAGTGAATGATGCATCACAGACGCCCTGTGTTGCCCAGACATGCCAGCGAGGGGTCACTATCCTCAGCTACCTTTAGAGACAACCCTCTCCTTTAAAGAGCAAATTTCCCCCCTCTCCGAGTCAGCAAGACCCATCCCACTCAGTGAGTGTCATTTACTCTGTACACAGAGACGCAGGACGAGCCTTCTTGTGTCTTTGTGCTGCTGCCTTAGACATGTCCTATCAAGCTTGCAGGGAAAAAATCCAAATGAGATTAGCTAAGGGAAGGAGTGACAGAAAACACCAAGCCCTATCCAAATGTACAGGTCTTCCTCATCCCACCCTAAAACCTTATTACCTTTGGTCAAGGCCTTTTTCAGTGTTCTCGACCTACCTTCCAGGCCAACTGCCTGTATTTTCTTTAAAACAGATGTGCTGGGTTTCAGCCAATACATCCTACTCACTGCTTCCTTTGGGGAATTTTAGCCCCTTTCATTTTGTGTCTTACCTTTCCTTTACCCACCACTACACACACACAGTTCTGATTAGAATCTCACGCGTCCTTCATGACCCACCCCAGCTGTGACCTCTGTGAAGCCATCTCCAGCTGTTCACGGGGCATGATCTCTGCTTGCTGGATGCACTCTGTTACACTCTCCTGTTTTTATCATCCATACCCTTGTTCATAGTTCTCATCAGGCTCTCACCTCCTTGAAGGCGGGGACTGTGCTGTCCCATTTATCCTCACAGGTCCTCTCATGTAACAAGCCCAGATGCACACAGCAAGTGCTCAGTAACGGCTCATTGTTTAAGATGAAAAATCAAAAGTCAAGTCAGCTTCACTCAGCTGTCCTTATCCCCCTGCTGTCGTGGGAGCTGCCCCTAGTGTCATCATCCAGGCTGATCTCTGTCATCAATGGCCTTCTCTGTGAGACCTGTCCAGGCACTAAGCCACCTGAATCCAGTTCCGCCACAGAGCCCTTCCTGACCACACCGGCCATGGTGGCTCTCCCTCACTGAACTCCGTTCGTATGGGTCATTCCTGGCCTAACCACCTAGTACTCCATATTGTCTGACACGACTCCTCTGATGATAAACCTCATCTTCTCAGCCTGAAATCCCTGTGAAGGAAGATCAGAGGAGCTGGAAAAAATGAGAGAAAGGAGAAGCCAGGAGAAAGGCAGGTAGGCATTAACCAAACACTTTACCCTGCCTAGGCACAAATCTCCCACTTGATTTCATTCAGGAAATGCACATGTCTTTTAGACCACGGGATGGAGTGGACCTCTGTGGGGTTTGGGCTGTCTGCCATCCATTTTCCTCTCTTAATGGCACCAGGGTTTCCTGAGGGAAACCTCTCCCTAGCTGTGTGTGGGCATAGGATGTGTGTGGGGTCACTACTGGGGGTGGGAGGATGGAGGGGATAGACCCTCTCCTCAGGGCAGGAGCCCAGCCAATCCAAGAACACCTGGGCTCTGGATCTTGGGCTGGTCTCGGGAAGTGCTGCTGGCCCCCAGAGAGCCTCCTTCAGTTGGCCAGGGTCCATTTCTAAGACACATTATCATTCAATGTGAAGAGCACTGGTGTTCAACCCCAGCTGCACATTAGACTTTCTGGGAGAGCTTTTAAAATCTCTCTGCCTGTGCCACACCTTAGCCAATTAAACCAGACTCTCTGGGGCATGTGCATTTTGTCAAACTCCCCAGAGCATTCCAATGCACTGCCAAGTCTGAGAACTTTTGCATTTTTTTAAGAGGAAGACAGACATTTGGTATGTGGGTTCTACAAATATTCTTGCCTTCGCCCAACATGTACAGTCAACTGTCATCATTCACACAAGTTATGTTCTCTCAAGTCACTGCAAACACTGAATTAGTGAATACTGAAACATTGCTCCTGGGAGAAATACAGGGTTAGGTTCCTACAAGCCTCTGGTCCTATTTTTGCCAACAGATCAATTCATAACTTTGTTTTACGTGTGTTTCTGTTTGAAGACACCTTATTTAACATATACTGTTGATTCATTAACATTGAATTCATGGCCAACAGTGCTGTCACACATGCCTGAATAAAACTTCTCTAACCACATATGCTATCTCCATGAGGCACATAGCAGCCATCCTACGCTGAGGACGCTAGACAGCACTTCTGCACGACAGTGAGGGGCCATTTTTAAACAGTGAAATCACCAAGAAGCAGCACAAAAATGCAAAACATGTGGCACTAAAGAGACTACGAAAAGGACATCTGTCTGCAGGGATGAGAGCCGGAACGGGACGGCAGAGTGTTGCCTTGTTTGGCCTCCACTGGGAATGTGAGGGTTGGGCAACTCAAAAGTGTTTGTAGCTCTGCACACGTCTGGGAATGACCATGGAAGCTGAGCATTGATTTGGGGGATACAAATAAATCTTAGCAAGTAACCGAATTTGCAAAAACAGAATCCAACAATAATAAGGATCAAACTCATCAAGGCAAACCTGAACATCAGCACCATGAGGGCCAAGATTTTTTTTTACTTTTTTAACAGCTATATTCAGGTATAATTTATACAACAAAAAAAATTTGCCCATTTTAAGTGTACAGCTCTAAAGCATTTATCTTTATTTTTAAACTGTCTCTTCGTTGGGGAAACACAAGCTGTAGGAGCGTGTGGATCTAACCTGCCTCGATGATCTGACTTGCCTTGTTTGAGGCGCGCAACCACGGACGGCTTCAAACTCCCCAGAACGCAGCAGGACTCAGCAAATGCCAAAATGAACACAGCGACTGAGCAGCAGTGAGCCAGTGCTGTGCTCAGCTATCTGACCCTTATCCTGTCATCCGTCCACGATTATTCTTCTACGTATGTCCTCTCTCTTCCTCGGTCTGTCCCAGAGCTGAGTGAATAGTACATTTCTCATAAATTCTTATTTGACAAACTCATACTGTAAGCAGCTGTAATATTTAGTGACTGCAGGTGAATGCTTAACATGTTTTCTTAACATGATTCTGAGAAAACAGGATCTAGGACCCTAATCATGACAAAAATACTAGATCCCAGTGTTTTTCCATCCCTAGCCTCCCTGGTAGTGGCAGCGGAAACCATTCTAAAAAGTGCATCTTTCACTATAAACAGCCATGCTTGCTCCCACATTACCATATCTCAGCAAGATGGTGTCAGTTTCCCTGGTTTACAGATGAAAAAGATGAATTTGAGGCACAGAGAGATAAAGTAGCCTCCTGAGACCTCACAACTATACAAGCAGAAAGGGCCACATTCAACTTGATTTTTTAAAAACTTGTCCCAAAAACAAACTTAGGAGAGATACAATACTGCACATAGAAAGAAGGGTAATGTAAAATGGAAGCAGGAAAGAACACCAAAAATACACATTTTAGGCAAAGAAAAGAAGAAGAAATGAGGCTGATCAACACAAATGCACTCCAGGAAGTCCTACTCTTTGGCTAAAGGTGTCCAGAAATTTGGCTCCAAGCTTTTCCGCAGCCACCTGAAGGAGGAAGGAATGATCAGCTCCTAGATTGACCACATCCAACTCTCTGTAAGCACCAGCTGAGTTCCTGTAGCACACAGGGCTGAGAACCAGGAGCCTATTAAAAAAGCAAAAATCACTAGTCAAGAGCAGTCCTACTTCTTCAGTCTTCTGTGCCTTAAAAGGTCCTTTAGTACCCCAAATCTTCATACCATGACCCTCTCCTGACCTCAGACCGGGGATGAAACCACTAACAAGTCCCTCTCTGTAGGCACCAGCTGAGTTCCTGTAGCACACTGGGCTGAGAAACAGGAGCCTATTAAAAATGTCACTACAATTATTTCTCATCCCTCTAAGGCTGTTTATAGGAAACATTATTGAGTTTAATAGCATTTTAAATGCTAAGCT